TAAACTCCTACCTGAGTAGGCTAAATGCGGATGTGCCGAACGATGCCCGGCATGCGGAGAGACCCCTCACGACTCGAAACATCTCTTCGCATGCCCGGAAAACCCCACAACCCTAACGGCGTCGTCCCTGTCGACCGACCCAATAGAGGCTCCACGCTTCTTGGGGCTGCCGTTAGTGGAACTCGACGACAACGACTGAGATAACAGCCGATCTGGGCGGGGTTGTTGTAGCCGCTACAACAACCGTAGTTTTCCCGAAGAGCCAAAAATAAATGCATATGTACATATATACATACATAGGTATGTATATTCGGCCGCTGTGGTGTAGTGGTAAGCAGTGCGCGCTTCCACTCCGCAACGCCTGGGTTCAAATCCTGGTCAAAGCAACATCGCAAAAAATACAGAAAAAGGTTTTTTCTTAACGGCGGCCGTCCGTCGGCAGGCAATGGCAAACCTCCGAGTGTATTTCTGCCATGAAAAACAGCTTCTCATAAAAACACAATCGCCGTTCGGAGTCGGCGTAAAACTGTAGGTCCCTCCGCTTTGTGTGACAACATCAATGCGCACGCCACAAATCAGAGGAGAAGCTCGGCCAAACACTAACATATGTGTAAGCGCCAATCTATTATTAATATTATGGGTTTTTTTAGTTTTGAGCTGGAATTAAATCTCAAAAAAAAAAATTTGAATAATAAAAGGCAACTTCTCGCTCTAATCCGTCCGCTTAAGCTCGCTTAGAAAATTCAATTTGCCTTTAAAAAAATATTTTTTAATTTTACAGCGAAACTATTTCGATTTCGACGCATTAAAATAAAAAAGGAATAAGCGATTTTTATTTCAATATTTAGCGCCTGCTAGACTAGGCAATGTTTCCAACTTTTGCACACAATTCCCTATCAAATTGAGAAAGAGAAATTTATTTCCACGTGTGAACAGTCGGAAGACCTTTCTGATACATTTCGGAAATCTGTTTCAGAAATTAAAATATAAAATATATTACAACATGCTCGTGCTGCACTAGCAATTTTTATTTCTGCAGCAAGTACTGTAAAACTGATCGAGTTTTGCCGTGTGACACAATAACGCTTTATTTTGAATGAAACAGCAGAAATACTTTTCATTAATTATTTTTCGGAACTTAATTGTTTAGTTATGAATAATAAATTAATGTTCAAACTGAAAATAAGGGTTATTATAACGAAGAGAAATAATCAACAACCGGCAAAGCGGCTCTAGGTTGCATTTTAGTACCGCAGTAGTAGATTGTCAGAAATTCATTCGCTGAGTGAAAAGCCAAAAAGCGTTTTCCGAAATTGTCCATGCAACTCGCTTTTCGGAAACCAAAAAAAAAAAACCGCTTTCGAAAAACACTTAACAAGCAAAGTGTAACTCATGCAACTGCTTTCTGATATTTCTCATTTTGACAGCCTCGAAATGTGTTGCCTTGTCCTCGTTTTGATTATGGTTCCTTCATAATAAAAAAAAAAAAAAATGTTAAAGCAGAGCGAAATGTGTGCCTGTGAGGAAGAAGTAAAAGAATATTAATTAAAAAGAAAACATAAAATATATGTATTATGGGTATTCATCTAAACGCTTACGTGCCTCGCAACCGCGTAAACTTCGTAAATAAAATGTTAAATTGGATTTTAGAAGGTATAGTAAATTTACAAATGACGATGAATAAAATTTTAACAAGCCCCAAAAAGTTTTTATAATCTATAAAATATTACTAGGTACGTCATCCTTTATTATTGCATCGTGAGGCTAGCGCGCTCAGCCACTGTTTCTTTCTGAATCAAGAGACAATTTTATAAGCGTAAGCATACCACTTTTTTCGCCATATTGCAAATGTTATCTTGCACAAACATTTTGATTTGTTTTTTATCTTTCCGTTGTACTTAGAGGCTCTTTTCTGTTTCTTTATTATCTCTTTATTTTTGCCTTGTTCGTTGATGTGGGCTTCATTTGTTATTTTTTGTATGGCAAATGTTGTTGTTTTCTTTATCGCTCGTGAATCAGCAACAATACACGAGTACCTAACTATCTATGCAAATACTTGCTGTAAGCGTTCTCTCTCAGCCCCTAACTTTTCTGAACGTCAGCAGGTTTTTGATTAAATATTCTTAACACAACGCGGCCGCCTTCCTTCCTTTAATGCTGTGCGTTTAGTTTACATATTTATTTATTTTGAAAAGATTACTATTGCCTTCCTGTGTGCATAAAAATTATGAATTGGCAAAATCGCTAGTCTTTTGTGTTGAAGTTTTGTTTTGTAAATAATGCGAGGTTTTGAAGATTCCGATGTTCGTTCTTTTGGCGATGGGTGCTTGATATATCTAGAATCTCGGAAAAGTAAAAATGAAAATATTTACGATGCAATTAGGGTTTTTTAAATAATTTTTAGAATGCGAAAAACATATTTTTTTAGTTAAAAAAAAAAAATAAAATACAATAATAAAATTATAAATTTTTTCATGATTCCTTAAATCATCTCGTTTTTTAAGTTTTAACATTATTTATTTAAGTTTTTTAGTATAAGTTTTTTAGAATTTGTTTTTTTATTTAAACTTTTTATTCATTTATTTTTATTTTGTTGTATAGACTTGGAAGCAAAAAAATTGATCAGCACAAACGAATTGTTTATAGAATTTTTTTTATTTAAATTTTGTTTCGCACATGCATTTATGTATGTACTGCATACTACTCCATAGTCCAATTTAAAAAAAAAAAAAAGAATCTGGTTTTCTGTGCTTAGCTTCGAATTTTTCAAATTAATATTTCTTTTAATTCAGCTACGTTTGTTTGTTTCAAAGTTCTCGAGTACAATTAAGTTATTGTTGTGCCTTGATTAACCCATTCAAAGCGAATACAAACACTTGGCATTCATTCTGATAACTGATTCAGAAGCCAATTAATACGCTTAATGCAATTTATTCAAACAAAATACGGGTGAACTACATATTTCAATACAGGGTGTTTGAAAACGTTGCCCGTAGGATGTAAAGTTTTTAAAAATTAAAGGGTTTTAATTTACTTATTTTAATTTTAATGTTTTTGTTTTTGCCAAATGAAAATCTTGGGACACTACTTCTTTACGAGTTTTGATCACTTATTTTTTATTAATTAATTTTTTTTTCCAAAAACTTTGAAAAAAAATTAATAAAAATGTAAAAATTAAATAAATAATATATAGATAAATATTTGTATTATGGTTTATACCAGACCAAGGCAAATTCTTGTAGTTGTAGTAATTCTGTAGCAAGTTTGAAATCAACAGATTTGATGTATCTGCTTATTAGCTCAATAAAGTGATGGAAAATACCAAACGATACACCCTGTACAGAAATATATATGTACATAGAAACCTGTATGTAAATACGCATGTACATACATAGTATATCTTCAATTAAAGCAGTAACCACAAACTGCAACGGATTTCCTTGGATTAAAAACAGCCTTTAGTGGCTGTGTGGTGTACAGTTCTTGCTTGCATTCATTCGGTTTTTTCTTATATTTTCTTTCTTTAGATACCACATTTTGGGCGAATGGTACCTATGTTACTGTGGCATGCAACACTGCTTTAATGCAGTTTTGCGTGTCTGTCTCAGCGCCAGCGACGGCAATCAAGCCAATGAACAATCGACGCTTTGTCCCCTTTGGCTGTCGGCTTGTCGATTTGTTTGCATTTTTATACATTATTACCCCCCTTCTACTTACTCAATATGTACATACATATGTATGTATTTATGCTGCATACTTCCCCCACTGTTGCATTGATCGTCGTCACAGCGTTGCATGCTGTTGTGCATTCTACCTACAGTAGCGTGTCGGATGGTAGCTAGCCGAGTGATTGGCTGGTGGGATCGAACAGCGAATTTCACTTTTTGCACAAAATATAAGACACATATTTATGTATGTATTTTGCTGTTAAAAGTTAAATGTTAATTGCGCTTAGGACTGTTTTCATCATCTCTGGTTAATATTAAAAGCATCGACATTCACGGTATGTACATACATACAGTTAGTTTGGTTAAAGTTAATAATAAAGTGCTGCTGGTGTGACGCTTGCGGTGACCGAAGAGCATATATGTATGTATTCATAAATTTTTTCGTTACAAATTATCATCTTTGTTTAAAAATTTGCTAGAAATAGATATTGAACGATTTTATCGAAATTCATCGTTTTTTGTCGATTTTTTTTTTAACCTTATCAATTATGCCTAGTCATTTATCGATTCGTTGTAAATATTTATCCTTTTTTGACGATATTTATCGATTTTCATCAATATTTATCGATTTTCGTCAATGTTTATCGATTTTCGGTATTTACCTAATTATTATTAAAGATTATGGGTTGATATTTATATATTTTTAGTGGTTATTTAGTAATTTTTGTAGTATATTGCCGTTCGTTTGTCTTACGAATTTATTAATATCGCTATTGATCTTCGTCTATCGATTTAAGTTTGTATATCTGTATGCTTATCGTTAGGTTTATCGATATCACTATCACTTCTGTAACGATATTACCGTAATTCGATGCCGATATTCAGGTCCCATTCGCTCTCACTGAGTTCAAAGCAATGGCCTACGAATTAACATTAATCTGTGTAAGGTCACATGCTGTTAAAAGCTTCGCCATGTTGGCTGCCGTGAAAATTTCAATTTCAATACATACATACATATTTATATTAAAATATTCTATAGTTTGCTGAAACAACTGCTTCTGCTATCAAGGAGTACCCAGCACGTTCGAATTCTGTCGAGTACGCTTTTCTTAACTTTCTACTAGATTTCACATTGCTGCATTTTTATGGTATTATTCATAAAAAAATGAAATAGATTTAAAGAGCTCTATAAAGTGACATTTTCATACAAATTTTCGATTTAAACATTTTCGAGTTAAAGTCTTCTTTAATTTTTTTATGAATTTGGCTGTTAGTTTAATTTAGACCCGAAACGACTGTGAACGAATGCAAGGTACAAATAATTTGGAACAGTACTTTTTTTTTACAGTAAATGCGAAATGGAACTGAAAGTAGCAAAAGTAAAAAGATAATAAATAAAAGACCGAAAAACTTTGAGTTAAGTGTATAATTAAGAAAAACAACGAGTTCGGCGAGAACAAAAAAAAAATACATTGGACAATTACCGTCGTAACCGACTAAAAATAATTACGCGCCTCCGCAGCGCACCAGCCCGAAATTCACCTCCAAAAAACCCACACTTCCCAGCCCCTTTCACGTCTCCTACATTCTTATAAATCAAATACAAAAAAAAAAACAATGATCAAATTGAAATCGTTGTTCCGCAGAGGGCAAGGACCCTCGGGTTCCTCGAAGCACTCCTCCTCATCGAGCAACCGCCACAAATCGCAGTCCAGCACTTCGCTGAATACGGTCGGCAGCAGTCAGGAGCCAGCAGCGGCACAGCAGCAAGCAGCAGCCGGCGCTACCGCCTCGTCCGCCACTTTCTATCCGCCAATCGATCCGGCCACGGAGCGCGGCGTTGACGTGGGCGACGGTGAATTGAATCTTGTTGCACCATTGGCAGCGCGTACGCGCAGTCGCACACCCGAAACGCTGCGCAGCGCGCACAACAACGCCATATCAGCGGTGAACAACGCTAATACTTTGCCGCACAAGAAGCCAAAAGTTGCCGGCGCAACCAAGAAGGGTCAGAAGCAGCCGAAGCAATTGCCCGCCAACGCGGGCGCGCAGCCTCCACAACCACCACCACGCGCCGATATCGTAGTTGCCGCCGCACCAGCTGGCAATGTAATGACGACAATAGCTGCCGCGCCGGGAAGTCACAATTCCGCGGTTAATACAGCGGCCACAGCAGTCGCGGCAGCAACAAATAATAATTACACAGGCGGTGAATTGATTAGCAGCGCAACGGCTGCTCAGGCGCCGCTGCCAACGCAACGTGGTGTCACCGCAACAGCAGCTGAAGCGGGCATCGATCTGTACAAGTTGAACGCGGCCAATTATCAGCAATTCATCAACAACGAGCAACTATTGCAGCAACAACAACAACAACAGCAACAACTATTAGAGGTGAGTGAGCACTTTGTGAAATGAGTGTTTATATGTGGTTACTCAGAATTGGATATTTATTTATTTTTTTTTCGTTGCAGGCTAACAACAAAATGCAGGATCTGCAAGCGCAGCTAGAACGTATGGGGCATGAGAAACTTTTACTGGAAGCGCGTATTGCCGAATTACTGCCGTACCAGAGTGAAGTCGCCAAGCTAAAGGCGGAGCTGCATAAGATGCAGGTAGGTGGGCTGTGGGGTGCAGTGAGTGGTAGTTGGAAACTCTACTGAAAACTCATCGAAGTCAAGGGCCACCGAAGTCTTACAAAAGTTTCTATTTTTCGTTTTTGCGCCGTGTGCTCGGCAGTGATTTACAGTTGTTTAATTGGCACATGCGAGCTATGAGATTCAATTAAAACTGGCACTCGTCATTTTCTGCTCACATGCAAACCATTAAATTAATTTGTCTTTCTCACAGACCCAGCAGGAGAAAAGTCAATTGGAGGTGGCAAATCTCAAGTACGAGAATGAATCGTTGCGCAATCGCTTGCGTGATGTCGTCAATTCGCCGTTATCAGATGCGGAGAAACATCAAATCATACAGGATTCCCAGCGTTTACACAGTTCGGCGCCGGCATCGATTGCGCTGCCAAGTGTAAGTTAATGGAAACAATTCGCCAAAGAGATCTTGTTTGGAAAATAAAATTTTATTAATAGAAGTTTAGCTAATTTGCTCAGTTTTTGATTTATCAAAAATTTATGTTCAGCTTCTTAATGACCGAGAACTTATATATGTATGTCTAGTTTTCAAATGATTAAAATTGTACGTGTGTCTCCCTTTTCTCCTTTTCTCCCCAGTTCACCGATAACGATGTGGGCACGCCCTGTCTCACGCCCGACTGGGACAAACACTCGTCGTCTAGTGAAATCTCGGTTGCCTGTCTGCAGGATAAGATCATTCAAATGGAGGAGACGCACTACTCCACCAATGAAGAACTTCAGGCCACACTCCAAGAGCTGGCTGACTTGCAGGCCCAATTGAGTGATGCACAAGCGGAAAACGAACGCTTGGCCGAGGAGAAGGATGTGCTTTTTCAGACACTCTGTCGCCAAACGGAGAAACTAAACGATTCACGCACCCAAATCAATACGCTACGCACGGAAATTAGCTCCTCTGAGCGCGAACGTAAACTACTCGATCTGATTAAAACGTCGCAGGAGGAACGCGAAGGGATACTCGTCAAGCAGGAAGAGCTCAACGCAGAAATGCAAGAGTTGCGTCAGCAATTGGATGCTTCTATGGCGGACTGCACACGCGCTCGTGAACGCAACGGGCTGCTGGATTCCACCGTCGATGCGGCAAATGCCGAACGCAAACAAATGGAACAACAGCTAGCGCAGGCCAAAGAGGAGATCTCCCAGCACAGCATCGAGATAAGCCGCTTAAGTACGCTGCTGGAAAATGCACGCTCCAAGATCGAGGAGCTGGAACAAGATTTGGCGCGTGGCGAAAAGACAGATTTAACCGATTTATTGGATGCGGCACGCAAGGAGAAAGATGCGCTCGAGGAGCGTGTGGCCGAGATGCAGGATCAGTACTCGCGGAGTCAGGCGGAGATAAGACGTTTAAAAGAGCAGCTTTCCGGTGTGACCGAGGAGTGCAAGGTGGCCAAGAATAATGCGAAGTGTGCCGTCTCGCATCTAGAATATCGGCTGGAGCAGTTGCAGCAGGAGAAGGACAAGCTGAGTGGCGAGCATCAGCAGCTAGTCGAGAGCACCGCCGAATTGCAGGTACGTTTTATGCAGAAATAAAAAAATTTCAAATGTTGACTTCGATTGCATTTGTCTGATTGGTTGACCTAACAGGTGCAATGTAAATGCCACTTGGAAGACAAGCAGCAACTGCAGAATTTACTCAGCGAAACGCAGAAGCATTTGGGCGATGTGGAGAGTAAGCTGAACACGACCGAAAAGCAGCTGGAGGAGGAGGTGAATCTGCGGAAGCAAGAGGTAGGCGAAGAATTATAAAAAAGTTTGTTCAAAAATTTTTTGTGTTAAATTTAAAAAATTTTCCCATTCCTTTCAGGCGGAGGAATGGCAACAGTTCCAGTCGGATCTATTAATGACCGTACGGGTTGCCAACGATTTTAAGACTGAAGCGTTGAGTGCACGCGAACAGCTTGTGCTTGACAATAAGACGCAAAAGGAGAAGATACGGCTGTTGGAGCAGCAAATCGACAAGTTGACGAAGCAACGTAAGTGCCGCATACAGTCAGGGTCAAATGTAAGTGTACACCTTGTTCTAATATAATATTCACAATTATTTTCATGGAAAATTATTTTCATTAATATTTATGAAAATATCGTTCATTCTATAACATAAACCATATAAATCAAAGTTTCACACTTTATGTAAAGTTCACAAAAGTTCCAAAAATTTTCATCAAAATTTCAAAAATTTCATTCAAAATGTCTAGAAAATTTGCTAGTACACAGTTTTGTATACCTTTCAATTTTTTCTTCTATATAACGCGTGATAAAAATCTATTTTTATATGGAAGAAAATGCGCAACTTCCTCCACAAAACAAATCTAAAAAATCAACGGTAATTTCTAGCGACTTGAAACTTGCACTTTGTTTTACTGAAATTGAACGGGATACAAAACGGCATACCCGAAAATTTTTTGATTTTTTGCGAACTTTATATAAATAGTTGACTTATATGGTGAATGAACTATACTATTTTCATAAACAAGTAATTTTTAAACAAAAAACAAAACCGAATTAATTCTCATATACAAATTTAAGATAATCGTAAATTTCTTCATGATCCAATGATCAGATTTAAAACAAATTAGTATGGGACCACCTGTGAAGTAACACCTTTCTTTTAAAAAAAGAATTATAGAAATCAGTTAACGTGGTCCAAAGTTATGCGGTAATATACATAAAAATAAAAAATAAAATAAAAATATTTCGACGAATTGATAACCTTCTCCTTTTTGCCAAGTCGGTTAATAATTATTGAAGAAAATTGTTCAAGAAAATAATTGTGAATATTATATTAGAACAAGGGGTACACTTACATTTGACACTAACTGTAACCTTGATTGTCCTATTTATTTTACTACTAGCTTTTGTTTTTGTTCACATTTGTGTATTTCATACTTTCCTACCATGCAGAAATGCAACAAAACGAAACACAGCAATCAGTGTTGAGCACAGTCCAACAGGAAATGGCTTCACGACGTAGCAAAATCGGCAGCAGCTTGAATCGTCAGGACTCGCGGTTGTCGGTGAAAACGCTTATCGAAAGCATTGAAAACAATAAAGTAAGGATAAAACGATGATTAAGATGCATTTGCAATGAGGCGATTTATTAAAAGGCGATAATCGCCTGCAAAATTTGACTTGCTGACTACTCGACGAGATTTTTGTTTATCAAAGTTGAATTGCCCAAAAAATCGCCCCATGTAAGTGCAGCTTTAGTAGCAAGTTGCGATTCCATGTCCTCGCCACATCCTAACGTAATAGAAAAGTGGTCGGTCCTCAGTCAGACAATTGCTGACCTCCGAGTATATTTCTGTCATGAAAAAACTATAGAAATGGAAATCTAATGATTTGTTTTTGCCTTTTCCAGCCCAAAGTAGAGGAGGCTGAGTCACATTACAGCTCCACATCCAGCTTAAATAGCGCCGCGCCAGATATAACCTCCAATTTGCTGCCGACAGCCGGGAATACGGGTGTTACAAATACCGACTGGAGTGAGAATGTAAGCGCCGAATGAAACGTTGCGTTTTCACTTTTTACGAGTATTTACACTACTTTCTTTGTGAACTGTTTTTAGATCCGTCTACAGACCACAGCAACGACACCAGCCACCAACACAAGCAACAGTCAATCCAATAGCTCAATTCCTTCTAAAGGCCCATTGCGTGAGCAACAACAACAACAGCAAGCATCGCCAGCAGCTACAACGCATTCTTCCTTAGTCTCTAATCTACATCATTTTAGTGGATTGAACAATGTGACCGGCAAATCCCTTATTAGTGGTAAGTAAACCGGCACGGGAGTAGAGAAACGCCCGAAAGAAGGCCTAAGTTCATATACTTCGGCTAGAAAAATTTGAAGTGCACCAACTAATTTTTGGGGTATCCTTAAATCACTTAAAAACTTAAAATTTCTTTTTTTTTGACTTCAGTTCAACTTTTTCTACATTTGGTTATCATCTTCATTTATTTTCTATTTTTTGTAGGCGAACGCAAAGATCCTTTGAATATGCTGGCGAAAAATGGTGGCTCGAAGCGAAATGCACTGCTGAAATGGTGTCAAAATAAAACAGTTGGCTATCGCAATATAGATATAACGAATTTCAGTTCGTCTTGGAACGACGGTTTGGCGCTTTGTGCGATATTGCATTCCTATCTGCCAGATCGTATACCCTACGACACACTTAATCCGACAAATAAGCGACGTAACTTCTCGTTGGCGTTTGCGGCGGCGGAATCTGTAGGCATTCAAACGACGCTGGCAAGTATTAGCATAAAACCTTTACATAGTCTGTATATGTGAATAGACTAAATAAATATTAATTTGGCTCCTTTTTCTGCTCTTCAATAGAACATCAACGATATGTGTCAGATTGAAAGACCCGACTGGACGCAGGTGATGACCTACGTTACTGCAATTTATAAACATTTCGAGACGTAGGTGCAGCAAGCTTGCATAATCAATTACTTATTGAGCTGAGACGTAACGTTAATGTATGAACCTGGCACTTTTAATGCGCTTTTGTTACCCTGCGTGCGGCGGCTGCTGCTGCGTGTGCATGTGCTTTCAGTCCAACAAAATAAACGAAAATGGGAAAATATTAAGACTTAATCGCAGTATAATGTAGACTTACAAACAAAAAAGAAGCACATTTAGTGGCAATGGCGTAACACATACACTTTAGTATCACACTCTTGTTCCATAGATTATTTTATTTTAATTTTTCATTTTTATTATTGTAATTACTTTACACATATTTAATTTATTGAATAAAAGCAAGATTAATGATTTATTGATTTGAGTATAGCAACAATGTTGCGAAACTTTGCTGCAAGCGCTTCCTTGCTGTGCATGCAACATTTTCTTTTGATTTGTGTTTAGCAACTATGTTGCGCTGCTTTTCTGTATACGTTTTGCTAGAAACATTGTTCTTCGCGCTTGCTGGTTGTTCATGCGCGCCTGGTAGAATGGGCGTGTTCGAAATTCAGGCAAGGGCGCGTATGGAAAGTTCACATTGTCAATACAGGGTGTCACGTACTGATTGAAAATTTATTTCTTAAGCTTATTTATTTGAGCAAAATAAATTTGGAAGTTTACGTTGATAAACTGAAGGGAATTTAGTGTTGGGAATATACAAATTGCATGGAAATTGCAGAGAAAAAAACATGAAACGCGTAAATAAAAGATGTATGCATTTAATAGGTGCATGAGAAGTAAAAAAAATTACAGACAATTCTAACGGAACTAGGTAAACAAATAATAAAGACTGAAGTACTTCGCGAATTACCATGTTTCTGCGACGCATCCGTAATTCGTTTGGCAGTTCCACTTCTTGTTCTTGTGTTTTGCTGTGAACACCCGATGATGGAGAAAAAAGTAAGTTAAAATAAAGATTTAAATTTATTTATTTTTAATTTTTTTTTTATATTAATTCCAGGTACTACAGAAAAAATTTTTTTCGCCATTAATAAACCCGCAATTTCAATGAAATTCCGACAAAAATTACGGAAGACAACGATTTGTTCGTAATTCGCAAGGTAATTGAGACTGAATTACTTACAAATGAGGTGATTCGCTCTCAAAATTTTTTATGGCGAATGACGTAATTCGTAGGGTAATTGGGGTCACAATTACGAATGGGAGAGCGAATTACGTACCGTGGGAACGTACTTTTGTAAAGTGTTCTTACACGACATGTATTTGCGTATATAAATAAGACTTTCCGACACATCCCTGCAGCAATACATAAATAAATTGGCGCTTACACATATGGGTGTGTTCAGAAATGCATCCAGACAAAGCATCAGTCTCTTTTATTTTCAACTTATAATTTATGGAAATTCCTTGTTAACAGAACTAAGTTCCAATTCTGAACGCACCTAATGTTAGTGTTTGGCCGAGCCGCTCCGATTTGTGGCGGCGAGCGCCTTGACGTTGGTGTTACTAAGGAGCCTGCAGCAATAAGGTGGCCAAATTTCCGAAAAGTACCAGTACTTCACCAGTTAAAAGATGTATGCTTTTTATAAATTAAAGAAGCAACTTTAAAAGAACTCCTCCAAAAGGCCTTATATAAAAGCCCTTCCACGGGTAGCGAAAGAAGAAGCCCTTCAATTTGTGCCACTCCATACAAAAAAGAAAGGAATGTAGATTGTAAGGCCTCTTGACTCTCAGGAAAGCCTTTCGGAAGGGCTTCTTACTCCTGAAATTATCTCCTGGGCGAGTACCCTGTATAAAAAAAGAATTTTTGCTAGTACCATGTAAACTTGTACATTGTTTGCTATTACTTACCGCATCCGTTTTGCTACTGCAGGTTGAAGTGAAACATATTAGTTAAATTTTAGGAGCGTTTCAAATTTTATTTTTTCGATTGATTTTTAACAACAGTTCATATAAATGTGTTACATAAAATGTGCAGCTTTTCAAACAGTTTGAACAGTTCTCATTTTTAGTCGTTAAACTTGTAATTGTATTTAAGAAATAATACTCTAAAAATGTTGGACTTAATTTAAGCTTTAAACTAATGGGAAAATTTTCACAATATTTGTTCACATTTTCTTGACTAGTATGACGTGACATGTAGTTTCTAACGATTAAATTATAGCAGAATATTAAAGAAAAATTTTAATTTTGTGCATTTTTTACAATTTTCTCCCGTGTTATTGAGGGTGCACTACAAAACGTTAAATCACAAAGCATCAGTCTCTTTCATTTCTAAACCTCAGTAGATTGTAATACCAAATGTGCGCAACCACTGTTACATGTTGGTTTTAAACTACGTTGCGTAAGTCAGAACTTTTCTTCTAGTGCGGTTTAGAAATAAAGATACTGATGCTTTGTATCCTGTGTTAACAATATTTTTTCATACTCTTATTTGTTAAAAATTTTACGTTCTCCAAATAATTAAATACAACCAAAATATAATTTTTTACTTAAATATTCGTATACTAGGGGCATGAGTATTATATTTCTCTCAAGCTTACAACATAGTGTTTAAGAACTATTTATAATTACATCACAATAAAAGAATTTTTATAAAACATTCATAAAAAACCTAATATTCAATGCAAAGTATTTTCCTAAGGTAAGTAGTTCCCGGTAATTTAACGTAAAACGCCACATTTTTGGCTATTTCAATGCCTAGTGGAAATTTCGCTTATAAAATTTTATGAAAAATGCCATGTTTATACATGTTCGATTCTATAACTGATTTAGGACGCCGATTAATCAGCAAAAGCTCAATATTTGGCGTGTTTACAAGCCATAGGAATCGGTAGACTTTTAAAATTAAAACGGCGGGAGCCGCAAAGCCATTATTGTCGATTATTCAGTCCTAAATCAGTCCATTCACAATTTCAATATCTGCAGTTGGCATTCGATGGTTGGCTGTGTATACATTAGACCGTATCAAACAAAAAATTACTGGTGGTAACCGGCACTGACAGCCCCGTAACGAAACGGGAAAGGGTTACTCAACTAAACAGCTCTAAGAGCCGTCAAAAATAACCACCTTTCTGAGGTTTGGCACAAGAGGAAGAAGTCACAGCGGTCACAATAATAGTAATTATATTCTTGTAGTACTCTTTTTTTGCAACGAAGATAAATCTAATAATGCGAGTAGAGTCCAGTAGCGAATTCGTAAATGTATGTATTTCAGTAGTACAAATATGAATTTCACCTGAATAGATATATGTATCTACAGTTTTTATTATCAAGTTTTATGCAACGAAACAAAATTTATATAAGCCAAAATGGCAGAAAACTTAGCGTACTTGATCGTGAAGAACAGCAAGCATACACTAATCAGGGTAGAACAGAGAAAAATAGTGATGGCAAGCCATTTAATATCTGAAGAGATTGTGGACGATAACGCAGATGATACAACTGCAGATGATTCCATTTATGTAGAAGAAATCCAGTTGCCAGAACACGGCCCGGAAAACGAAAGTGAATAAGATACAACTCGTTGAAATACTAGGCGAAACAGGGGACAACTGTACTGGCAAAGACGGAACAATTTCGTCTGCTGCAGCACCACAAAACACACATGCCATTATTGCTGACTAAACAATCCAGCAATGTAAACATAGTAGCATGCACTCTTCTGATTGGTTGCCCTTGCACTACAAGCTGAAATATTGGAATTAAGAGGTGGGGTTATGGAAACGACTTTGCATCACATTTTTGTATAGACTTGAGTATTATTGAATAAACCAAAATTTTGACAAGGCAACTATGTTTTTTATCCTCATCCATTTGGACAACTTCACGGCGGCCGCCTAGTGATTATCAGAAGCCACTCTGCTGTATAAATATGAAGTGGCTATTTCTTAAAAAAAAAAAAAATGGCTCTCCACCCTGCATGCATGGCGATCCCGCCGATGCAAACGCACATCATACCATATGGGGAAGCAGTGATATATGAAATTTAAGCAATATTAAACTAATAAGGATTTGATACGCTCAATATTATGCTCAGTTGATATTGATCACTGGAACTTAAGTTTTTTCTGCTAGCATCTAAGCTAAGCAAACGCGCATCACACAGTCTGGGGAAGCAGTGATATAAGAAATTTAAGCAATATTAATATTTTTTTGGTTCTTTGTTTTTTAAACTTATCAATTTTATGCTCACTTTGCATTGATCACGGAGTTTTAGTTTTTTTTTTGGTAGCGTCTAAGCTATGACAACGTACCACACAACATATGGTCAGCAGTGATATAAACAATTTGTGGTCTGTATTAAATAAGATTACAGTGCCTATATGTAGCTGTATACAATAGCATCGATTATGGTCAGATACCCATTTATCGCCAGTCACACCACGAAAAGTTAACGTTCATAACTGTTAAATGTTTATATTTCATCAAGCTCGGGAGAACTTGAAAAAACAAACGGAGTAATAGGAGTGACGTCGAGTGCAAGTTTTTTCTGCTAGCGTCTAAGCTAAGCGAACGCGCGTCACGCAGACTGACGAAGCAGTGATATAAGAAATTTAAGCAATNGCACTGTTTCTTATTTCTCACCTGGCAGGCAAACGAAACGACATATTGACTTTCTGTTGACGGAATTGAGTTTATTATGTCCTAATTAAGCTAGAAAAAAATTCCCAACCGTTTCTGATCATTATTTAAAGTTTGCCGGTTTGAGGGTTAATATTTTTTTGGTTCTTTGTTTTTTAACCTTGTCAATTTTATGCTCAGTTTACATTGATCACGGAGTTTTAGTTTTTTTTTTTTTTTGCTAGCGTCTAAGCTATGACAGCGAACCATATAACATATGGCTAAGCCACGAAAAGGTAACGTTCATAAATGTTAAATGTTTATATTTAATCAAGCTCGGGAGAACTTGAAAAAAAAACAAACGGAATAATAGGAGTGACATCGAGTGTAATTATATAGATTAGTGATTTTTTTGATGCTCGAGTCTAAAGCGTTTTACACGGTAAACCGATTTTTTCTGAACCTGTTCCCAACGCCTTGTGGCTCCAATTTGCGCCGATATGTCACATTTATTTATGAAGCAATTAGGAGCAAGGAATATAAATATATACCCCTTCAATTTTAAATAAATCAGTACAAATCCAGTAACGGATATGTTGCCAGCTTTAAATACTGTTTTCTGCTACAAAACAGTAAAGGTGTTGAATCTTGTAGCTATATATGTACTTATACACATGTGGTTTGCACAGAGTGTGGATTCAGTTGCACTTAAACCAGCAGAGCAATAAGTATATTTCTTCTCATCACTTTAGCGAAAAACATTGGTGAGAGGACAAAGGGGTATCCCTTTATATGGTCCTTCGAGATACGAAAATATCATTATATTTAGATGTTAAATGTTTAAAAAAAGGTAGTGGCAGATGCGAATAATAATCACATCTACGCACGTTAATTAATTTTATTTCAGTAGTACAAAGATGAATTTCACCTGAATAGATATATGTATCTACAGTTTTTATTATCAAGTTTTATGCAACGAAACAAAATTTATATAAGTCAAAATGGCAGAAAACTTAGCGTACTTGATCGTGAAGAACAGCAAGCATACACTAATCAGGGTAGAACAGAGAAAAATAGTGATGGCAAGCCATTTAATATCTGAAGAGATTGTGGACGATAACGCAGATGATACAACTGCAGATGATTCCATTTATGTAGAAGAAATCCAGTTGCCAGAACACGGCCCGGAAAACGAAAGTGAATAAGATACAACTCGTTGAAATACTAGGCGAAACAGGGGACAACTGTACTGGCAAAGACAGAACAATTTCGTCTGCTGCAGCACCACAAAACACACATGCCATTATTGCTGACTAAACAATCCAGCAATGTAAACATAGTAGCATGCACTCTTCTGCTTGGTTGCCCTTGCACTACAAGCTGAAATATTGGAATTAAGAGGCGGGGTTATGGAAACGACTTTGCATCACATTTTTGTATAGACTTAAGTTTTATTGAATAAACCAAAATTTTGACAAGGCAACTGTGTTTTTTATCCTCATCCACAGATTTTCGTTACTGAATTGACGGAGAAACCAAAATATCTACAACATGTCTGAAAAGAAGGAGAATGTTGCATTACCTGAAGCTGCTGCTTCGCAACCCAAGCCAGAAGAGAATAAGAAGAAGAATGGTACTAAAAGAAAAGGGAAGGGCGCTCAGAAAAAATCAACGGAAGCATTTCGTGCAAGAGTGAGTGATCAACAATAGGAAGCGTTCACTAACAAGCTCAAGGCTACTTATGGATTATTGGATTCAGATAGAGATGGAAAGATCGCTGAGGTCGTAAATACGGTCCAAATTTCCGTCCAGCCCCGTGCTGCGCCAATGTCCATAACAACCCGTGCTGTGGGCTTTGCCACTGCCATTGCTTATCAACGCACTTGTACTACATGGAATACTGCAGCAATTGCTGAGATTGCAACAATCCATGTTGTATATAGGGTTCACCTTTTGTTAGTGCACCTGAAACTGTATTTAGCACAACAGATACAGACCGAAGCTGTTTCCGTGGAAAACGCCCTCCAACATATCTTCTTGGCTGATGAGATACGGGAAGAATTGATCTTGATCACACAGGTCCCAAACGTTATGGCGATGATACTTGACTGCATTGGAAAGGTTGAACAGGACGGATTCATCTGGCATGTTGGTTATCCAACGCGCGATTTGTGCGATGAGGAATACGATAGTCTCGTAATTAATCCAGACACTATGCGAGATTTACTGCATCGCCTTTCAAATCCAGCAACATCGGCAGTAATGCGGCGTGATTTTATTAAATATAATTCAATCCCAGGAGCAAAATTTGAAGGTGAGCTCTTGGTCAACGCTGATGATATATGGCCGGTTAGGTATTCTTCGGGTGATATACTCGCGGATATCCATTCTTACAAGAATTGGATAACTCGAAAACTCCGGGCAATCGATAATCACAACCCTCCTTGGAAAATTAATCAGGCGTCATGCGACTGGTCGTTAAATAGATATAAAAAAGACAGTACCCCTAACTCCACCTTTAAACAACTGTTTCTACAAAAAACAACCGACCTCAAAAAGAACGGATGGACTATCATTTACACAGATGGCTCCAAAACAAACTACTCAACAGCGTTTAGCGTTACGACCGAATCTGGTTCTTATCTAAGCATAAAGCAAATGATCCCTCTTTCCTCAATATTCTCTGCAGAAGCAAGTGCCATTCTAGAAGCGTTGGCGCTATGTACTCATAAAAAGCAAAAAGTGGTCATATGCTCATGTCAGTCATACGACCGCACAGTGTAACTTTTTTCACTTTTAGGATGCCAAAAGTCAAAAAAACAATGTGCTCCAATCTTCAAAATTTTTTGATATGCTACAGATAAATAACCAACTGTTAAGAAAATGTATTCAAAGCAAAGCAAACAACCCACAATCCTCATGATAACCGTTATGTAACTTTGCTGATTGCAACAAGTGTAAAAATCGTTTCACAGTCTAAAAATTTTGATTAACTTTGTGGCCACGTGGTGGATTTTTGGATAACTGGTTTGACTTGAAACTATTTTATTTTACATACTTGGGTAGTTTATAACAGCATTGGTAAGTTTCAGCCACGTAGGTATTTTTTTAATTTTTTTTTTTTTTTTTTTTAGACAGCCACTAAAAATTTGGAAAGCTTAGAAAATTTTTCGTTTTCAATAGAATAGAACTTACTTACTTCGCTCGAATTCGCCTTGATGATTATATACATATACAAAGGGAATTTAATATAGTTTCAGATAAAAAAAAAAACAATGCAGAAGTTTGCCGACACTATGTCATTTTTGCATATCGCTAACTCAAGGTCAGCATGCCCTTACTCATATATGAATGCACAATGACCTAACAATGGAATGTCTTCAATTCAAGTCTACGATACTACATCCGCAAAAAAGACAGTTATACCTGAAATGGTAAAAACCCAGAAAAAGGAAAGTTGTGTACTAAATAGCCTTCATTGTTTGTCATATGGGTTTTCCTATTGTTAGCGAGCCTTTAAAATCTATGTTGTGCTCTTATCCCTTATAACCATCGAGCACGTCTACCTGAGGGTCGTCTATTCTAGGTAGTACTTTTAAGCAAGTGAGTGCTTTCGCTAAGACTATATAAATAAAGAACATAGCTAAAAATGCATCATACTAAAAAAGGATTGCATTGAAGTATAACCAACTGCGCTGTACCAAATTTGCCTATACCTATCATCAATTAATTATGGCTGTACCACGAAATCCACTCTTTGAAGTTTGGCTAAAAAGCAACAATGAAGAAAAGCACAAAGCTATGCTAAACCATATTTTGAGTGTAATTGGAAGAGATGTGGATCATTTAAAACTAAAACAATACATCATGAGGCTAAGTCATGATATTCGTATGAGATGGGAACGTTGTGGCCGATCTACAAAAAAATTTATTGAGCAAGAGTCTCAATGGTTATCAAAAAATCATGATTTCAAAGATTGTATCCTTGATGTTGAGCCATGCACTTCTCGTGATATTCCTAGGCCGGGGAGGCCAACAAAAACCTTCGCTGAGTTATCTATACGCACAAGAAAGCGAAAAGCTAAGGAACTAATGAACAATGTCGATAATGATCAACTGTTAATGGCAGCGGAATTGAAATTACGATCATCAGGAAAAAGAAATTCTGCAAAAATAGTTGAGGAGTTGTCCTCAGCATCACCATCAAGAGGCACTGCATACAAAAAGTCCCGACTATCGGATGAAAATAAGAAAAGTTTGACACCAGATCAAGCAATTGCGATGATAGTTGACTCAAATCTTTCAACACATGAATACTCAATGATCCGGCAGCACACTTCAGAAGTTAACAGGAAAATATATCCTTCATATAACTGTCTAAAAGAATCAAAGGTTTTATGCTATCCTGAAAAAATTACCGTAACGGAAACCTATGCTGAAATTGAATTGCAATCCCTAATTGATCACAGCTTACGAAGATTGTGTCTTGCACAAGAAGAGGTATTGCTTTCTATTCCTGAAGTTAATGAACTAAATGCAATTATTAAATGGGGATGTGATGGAGCTGAGCATAGCTGTTACAAACAGCAATTTTCGGAAGATAACAAATCGGACACTAGTATGTTTTTCATTTCACTAGTACTCCTTGAAATGTATACAATAGTTGACGGACGTAAGGTTATAGTTTGGAGTAATCCTGCTCCATCTTCCACGAGATACTGCCGCCCGATAAAATTTGTTTTTACAAAAGAAACACGAGATGTTATTTCAAAGGAGGTGCAATCTGTCAAAGACCAAATTTCCAGTCTTCGTCCTACAACAATTCAAACGGAAAACCTAAACTTTCTAGTGAAATCGACGATTGTGTTGTGCATGATTGATGGCAAAGTTTGCAACGCTCTATCGGCATATACATCATCGCAAAAGTGCTACATATGTGGGGCTTCACCAAAAGATATGAACAATATGCGAGCCCTCTCAGAGCGAAATATTGACGAAAGCATGCTTGCTTTCGGAATTTCCCCTTTACATTCTTGGATACGATGCATGGAATGTATGCTACACATCGCTTATCGAATGGAAATGAAGACCTGGTGTGTGCGGGGCGAAGAAAATAAGGAAAAGATGAAAAAGAAGAAAGAACATATACAAAAAAGATTCAGGAAAGAAGTTGGTCTTTTGATTGATATGCCAAAGCAAAAAACCGGCAACACAAATGATGGCAACACTGCGAGAAGATTCTTTGGAGATCCTGAAATAACATCAGACATAACCGGCATAAACATCAATCTTTTGAAAAGGTTTCATACAATACTTTCATGCATAGGATGTGGGTTTCAAATAAATGCTGAAGCTTTTGGCCATTATGTGACAGAGACAAGGGAACTATATTTATCGGAATATGCTTGGTACAATATGCCAGTGAGGGTACATAAAATTCTGTTTCATGGAAAGAGTATAATCGTGTCTTCTGTTCTTCCTATTGGTCAACTTTCGGAAGAAGCTCAAGAGTCCAGAAACAAAGATGCACGAAACTATCGTAAACTTTTCACGAGAAAAAAGTCAAGAATTTGTAGTAACTTGGATTTGCTGCACAGATTGCTGATATCGTCAGACCCGTTCATAAATAGTTTGCGGAAAACCCCTAGGACAAAGCGGCGACCATTAACGAGTGAAGTTATTAGCTTACTATCGGAACCAGAGAATGTCGACGATATTGACTCCGACTAACTTTAAAATATCACTTTTTATTTATTGTATGTATTTCGATTTAGTTTTTACAAATATATGTACCTGAGCTGTGTTTGACTTTGAAAATAAAATTTTTTAAATATTAATCAAAAGCCTCTAACTGTAAAGTTAAGAAATCTAAACAATTTTTATTTATATTCCCACTGGAAAATGCGTTTTAACTAGAAAATATGATTATGTGAAATTTCACCTTATATGAGGGCAAGGGGAAAAAGTGGGCGGAACAGGCCCATTTTCATTTTCAAATCAGATTTAGGTATCTGTAACCACACTGCAAAATTTCAAATGAATTGGTCCATTGGTTTGGCTGTTATTAATTTTGGCATCCTAAAAATGACAAAAGTTACACTGTGCAGCAGAGCAATAAGTATATTTCTTCTCATCACTTTAGCGAAAAACATTGGTGAGAGGACAAAGGGGTATCCCTTTATATGGTCCTTCGAGATACGAAAATATCATTATATTTAGATGTTAAATGTTTAAAAAAAGGTAGTTGCAGATGCGAATAATAATCACATCTACGCACGTTAATTAAATTTATGTCAACTCAAAAGAAACGAAATCACTGTCTCCTTCGTAAGCCATATATAAGTTGACGGTACATGCACTCGAGCGCTGCATTTGAGAAGGAATAGCGGGATTTAGACGAAAGAAACCGAGCGGCGGCGGCGGCATGGTGTGATCGTGCGCTCGGCATACATGTTGCCTTGTTAACAAACCAATGTTTTTAGAGGTGTGCGCTCGTAGAATGCCCCATCTGTGTTCGCTACGTCGTTTAATTCCGCTATTCGTGCTGCCTGCAAAGCGGGCGACGTGATAAATGCGGGAGATTGAGACAGTGAACAATAATTTTTTTTCGGAGAAAAGGTAGAAGCGAGAAACAGTGTTGTGAAACGGCCCTTTCTTGTGGCGCTAAATTTTCGACGTTTGTGTTATCGGTACGAGTATATTATTCGATTTTACGATATCAACTTATCACTACATCATAAGATTGCATACTCAGATATATTGCTTATCAGTAGTCTTAACAATGCATTGGTTTCTTTCTTGATCTCACTAAGAAATTGTATAAAAAGTGAACGTTTAGAATAAGTAAATCAGATTTGAAAGACAATCTCAACTAACAGCTTCATCTTTTCTTTTGATGTTTTACTTCCTCCCACCCGTGGTAAGGGTAAAACATTTAAGATTTAACTAACCTATTTATTAACCTCTGTTCAGTTTCTTATCGGAAACCTAAACGAAGAACAAAATTTATTGCCACAAGTAGTTGTCGATAAGATGCTATAAACAACAAACCAGTGCATTGGTCCTTAGGGTATTCGGTTGTTTGCATCTACCACATCTGCACATACCAAAAATAGCAATAAGCACTACAGTTTAGGTTTATTGGAATAAAAGTCAGATATGGAAATAACCTTTTTTTATTACAATAAATGTTCAAATTAAAAAAATGTTTAAAAATTAAAAATGATGGTTAAACAATTATCACGAGTGGCATGTGGCGAATCCACATTTAATGCCAGAAGATAGATCCCAGTATCGCTTTAAAGTAAACCTGTGGACCGGAATTTTAAACGGCAAAATTATTGGGCCTTTAGACCTGCCTGAGAACTTGAATGGCACGAATTACCCACATTTTTTACGAGAAAATTTACCAACTTTGTTAGAGGACATACCACTAACAGTTCGCGCCACATGTGGTATCAACAAGATGGCTGCCCAGCGCATTACGCAGTGCAAGTAAGAGATTTCCTTGACCAGGAATATCCGGGAAGGTGGATTGAACGTTCAGGCACTATCTCGTGGCCAGCCCATTCCCCAGATTTGGATTTTTTTTATTGGGGCGTTCTCAAAGAAAAAGTTTATTCAAAGCCTATTGAGAGCGTAGCCGAGCTGCGTGAACGAATTTCTCAAGCTGCTGAGGACATCCACTCTCGAGGATATGCCCGGCTAATAAGTAGATCTTTTTTAAAAGAGGTAGGGCGTGTATTGAGGCTGATGGTAAACAATTTGAACATTTATTGTAATAAAAAATGTTATTTCCCTATCTGACTTTTATTCCAATAAACCTAAACTAAACTAGGTCGAGTTTTCATTATTTTATTAATTTTACTTACTTTTGTTGACTTTGGTAAAAGTGGCGTCACTATCTGTCTCGCTCGCTCATGGCAAACATGTCCACTATCCATCTCTCTCATCATTTTGTCGTAAAATTAAGAACCTACCAAGAGCTTGTGCGAATAAAAAACATTTGAACTGAGTAAAATGGGTTAGCAAAAATCGGGTTGAGGTTTTTATTTTTTTACTGGTTTTTTTTTTTTAGTATGAAACTAACAAGTATTGTACCATTTTACAGTCCTGATTAAATGTGCGAACTTTTGCACTTGCCACGGCACTTTAGCACATTTTTTTTTTTTTTTAAGGAGGCCCTTCAAGTCGACAAATTATAAAAAAATTTAATTCATAGTTTAACAAATAGTCTTAATTCTAGAAAACGGGCAATTGGGTCATTATTTTTG